TATTAAATAGAAGTAAATGACAGTTATAAAGTTGTGTGAGTAATTACAATTATGATTTACAGTTGATGATCAGTGTTAGGAACTAGATTCAGAGTTTTCATCACGAATTGGCATCAGTTAAATTGCAAAACACGCTATTTAGTCAAATGGATGAATGAATTTTGCGTCAAAATTCAAGACCTGTTGTATTATATCTGATTGGTTCGTTTATAGATTATAGTCTCTCCGTAAACTTGAACTATTATTATTTTATTACTATGTAGCATGATTTTTCAATATCGTGTCATCTTAAATAGAATAACTCGTGATACAATATTTTTGTTAAGGAGTTACTAATGAGTATATTGTATTGGTATTTCTGTAAATGAAGTAGATTCACTGAACTGTTTATCTTCCAGTATATTAATTTGAGAGTTTGTCATCTAAAACTTTTACCTGGTAAGATTCAGGTAATTACACTCAAGAGTAAACTACTCGATTTATAACAAAACTATTAAATTATTCAAAATGTTATTTAGTTTTCCATTGTTCAGTTGGTACTTAATTATTATCGTATTGTAAAGTGATAATATCATAGAAATCATTTATACAATAATAACTTAGTTACCAGATAATATATGTATAATACATTCCTTGAAATCAATTGGCCTGTGAACAAGGAGATGGAAATATTCAAGATTGAAACGAATAAATAGAATAAAATATTACTAATGTTCGTGTTTTTGTATAGGGAAGGAGGGGGATTACTCTGTATGTAGGTTTTATTTATTTATTTATTTATTTCAACACATAGATAATGGTAAAAAGAGGCACCAAATACATATGCGCCACACAAATCTCATTCTATATGTGTGAGGGCTGTGATACTGCCCGGGTGCCCAAACCGAAGCAGGTGGTTATCTTAGGAAGTCACACCCCGAGCCTTTGATCTGAAGGTCTGATCCACAAGGCAGTGGAGCATCGTAAGGAGATGCAGTCCCATGGAAGCCGGTGACCAACAATTGGTTCATTCGCCATTTGTTCCCGCAGGATACTGGAGCCCATGTGCACCATTGATTTGGAATCCGGTTAAAGCACCGGACATTCGCTTTTCGTCCTCTCATTTTCGTAAACAACACCCCCGCCACGAGAAGGCAGTGAGTAGGACTTCCCTGGTAGGTTAACGATAATCCATTTCATTACACTTTTTGCTTAATCAGTAATTATACTGTATTTTGTGAATTTTATTAGGTCATATAATAATATATTTGCATTATCCTAATGAGAAGAAAATTAAAATTTTACACATTGGGGTATCACAAATAAATTATTAATTTATTATTGTTAATAATCTACAAAATATTCAGTTTATATGAAATTATCAGGTTAAATGTTAGTAATGGTACCTATCTATTAGGTTACTTCAGTTTCCGCTATTAATGGTGATAAAAAAACTATCCTTCTTATTTTTGACATTTTTAGATTATTCTAAAGTTTTTCACTGTAAACCTACATAAAGAAAATAAATATGATCCAGGATGTGCTTAATATATTCGACGCAGATATTTACCTAATTTCGACTAATAATGTTATTAAATCGCTTCTTTTTCTTACTCTGTAGTCATATAATCCAAACTATTCAGTCATTAAAAGTCAACAATATTGTGTTATTTACCATAAACTGCAAATTTATTACTATCTCGTGAGATAGACTGAAACATGTATAGGACTTTAAAAGATCCCAATAGAATAACCCTAAATGTTAATTATTTTAATAAACATGAACTGTGTTCGTTTAATTTCACCTTATTTTTTCCAGAAAACAAATTTTTATATATCCATTATATCATATCCAAAAATGAGTGAAATGTCTTATTTCTGTTTTCCACCTAATAGAGCATTGTTCTAGATGTCATAAATATTTTGGTCTTTTCCCTTAGCTTGATGAATGTACCGATCAGATGCTAAGAAGTACCCTATATGACGTTCTTTAAACTGTTAATTGTACTGATATAAATTATAAAATTTAACTGTTTTTATAAATTAAGCCATGATAACATCTATTATTCTGCAAATAACTCCTTCCACGTTTCATTCTTGAATCTTTCAAGTTTATTTTCTTTACGAAGTCCCTTTAATCTGGCTCAATACTATAGTAATTTAATGTTCTATCCATTCAGACAACACGACCATAATAAACTATCTGATTTAATTATTTTTATAGGAAAATATGAGATAAAATCTACCAATGTCATTATATACTCTCAGTACTTTATTGGTATACAGGAACAGAGGTATATAAAAACAGAGATTTTACTATTACTCCTTACTGTAAATTATTGTTTATTCATGCTCAATTCCAATACACAACGTCGAGAATCAGGTAGTTTAAATTTACGAGTTACTGATTTTGAGTCTCAGTATAAACATCATCACTGAGATCTAGGTGTATTCAGCTGATGAGTTCTAAATGTGGTGAAACGTACATCATGGCTTCTTCTACTAGCAGAATGTACCATTGTGTTAATTTAATTAAACTAATGTTAATTCGATCTATACAATCGATTGACACTAAGGACTAGATAACAGGATTTTGGTTATTACTAAGTTACCAAATAGTGTAGATTGATGAGAAGGAGAAGAAAGAATAAATGATCTCCACTGTTGAAAAAAACAATAAATTTGCTACTTCATATTGGTAACAAACAATAAGCTTCCATCTTTGATTGAGTAAACAATAAGATTTTATATTTATTTAGAATAATTTTCGGATTTTCAATAAATAATATTTATCATATTAACTTATCTATATGTATGATCAACGTAAGAACAGTCCTTCTGCGTTAAAATCCAGAATCATTTATGAAATGATAGTTGTGTTAATGTACATGATAAAAACTATCTACTGACTAATGCAAATGAAACACTAACTTGATTGTACTTGAGAACAAGCTGTGGATAACATTTTGTTCTGTTTGAGATAAAAACTGTAAGCCATGATGTAAATAAACTTATGTTCAACACCTGTACAGGTTTATGTTGAATTATTTGATTTATCTTCCAATATGGCATTGAAAAAATAATTACAGTGAATTTGATTATATTTTAGGTCTCAATTCAATACAGTTAATCTTTGCTCGTAAAGATTTCAAATAATATATAGTACATGTAATTTCATACAGTTGGTAGTGATTTTAAGTAGTTATAAATCACACACATCAATAATGATAACAAGTTAGGTAAGTATTTATCTGGGATGAAGATATTTTAGACACTTGAAGCTAAACATTGATCTTAACTTCTATTCTAAAGAAAATTAAACTCTCTGTCAGTGTTTGGATTATTTGTGTTAAATTAGCAAACGTACAATTTCAAGAATAACTTTCAATTAATCATTTCACTTAAATCACAAAAATAATATTACACTACTGAACGTAGATTAACTAATGTTAAGTAATGCAATTGATTAAACTTAATTAATTATCATGAAAGTTTTTGCCAAGTGCAGAAGCAGCGGAAGACATAGATCTTTGAACGACTATTTAGTTTTAGTTAGAGATAACCCCATATGAGATTGAAGTCCTAAAAACATCCTTGAACCACCGAATCGATATCTAACGACATAGATTTTCAACTTTGAATAGTTTCTTATAAAACGTGATTCTTATCCCATTTTTCGATAAATAACTGTTTCACTTGTGACTCGGTTGGATTCATCTGTTTTGACTTTTCACAGAGATTTCATAAACCAATAATTGTTATTTCATTTTGCGAACCAATTGAAGTTGTAAACCTGATCATTACATGCCGACTCACTAGCCTAAAAGTATCATGTTCTTGTTACTACTTAATGTTTATAGGGTCCGCTCTAAGTAGATTCACCTTTGTGCACTGACAAGAAGCTCCTATCTAGAAAAATAGCCATCTGGTCCTCCCTGGCTACCACCGCTTCGCTAGCTGATATAAGTTTATAGCAAATATTGTCATCACCGGCACAATTTGTTCGGGAAGTATGATTAAGATCCGCATGAAAACTGAAGACTTGACACAAAATGCACTGATTAATATTGACTATAATGTTGTTAGTATTCATGAAACATATTTCTATAGAGGTATTAAATTTTATCTAACTTCATTGGATTTACACTATGACAAAATAGGAGTAAACCAAATGACTTGGAGCAAATAATGGTTGGATATTTTTTTCTGTCTGTATACAAATCTGTTAGATTCGTGAATTTACCGTTTTCTTGTTCAGAAAAAGGGTCAAACCTACAGTATTCATTCTGATCTGTGTTATCGACATGACAAACTGTAATTCACATAAGGAGAATTGTAAATAGCTCACTACTATTCGAAGTTTAGTTAGATGAAGTTATCTAGAGAGATAATGACATCTTGATAATTAAACAGTTCTATTCAGAGAATGCAACATCAAGAAAATTTTCTACTCGAGCTGCAATTCGTCTCTGTCATTGCAAAATCCTACGAGTATTACGTTTTCACCCATTATATATATTATCTAGTAAGAGAAATTTATGAAAATTACAGTTAAAATGAATTGAAAATATGAAATAACAAGCTAATGAACATTTATGTAAAATCCAATATCTATGCTTTCATAGATCCACAGTAACTCATTTCAGATTTAATTTTAACAAAATAAGAAGTTTTTAGATTAAGTAATTTTATAATAACCATTCATGATAACCATTTTTACTAGTAATCTTAATTAATATCACTAGTTGGACAAAAATCTACTCACATTCATAATCAGGAATAACACCGAGTTATTTTTTCAAATGAGTCAAATATAAAAGCCAAATACAGAAATATTTATAAGGTAATGACCTACATATTGTAATGCAGAGGAATTGAACTTATAAATCAGTAGTTGAGAATCAAGTACCTACACGATTTCATCACTGATTCACAAGATAAAATATTATTACGTCGACTTATATTTAAACATATCCAAACAACATTTGCTTATAAGAAAAAGTTGATATAACTAACATTACCTTTTGATAATAGTTTATCTAAGTACGTTTGTATACGTAGAGATTTTCTTTGTGAATTATCCAAATCATTCTTCGGTTCAGATTCTCTATATCTTAGACGTTTCTGTATTCGATTATTCGGTGCTGTTCGAATAGTTAAATTATGACCTTGACAATTCCATCGGTGTGCAGAAAACTGATATTCACATTCTTTTAAACCCATAAAATAACCACGTATCACACTTTCCATTAAATGTAAATACTGACGGCATAATTTTTTTTGTCTTCGTAAAAATCCATTCGGATGATCACATATACTCATTTGTAATTTTCCATCAGGACCGACAAATGTTTCTGTTGTCATCATATTGTCATTATTATTGTTCATATCTTGAATTGTCTGTTTTAACTGAGTTTGATTTAATCGTTCATGATTATAATTATCTGTATTTAAATCTGAATTCATATAATTTCTGTTTGTTTGTGGATAATTTAAACTTTGTGATTTTGATGCTTCTACAAAACGTAAGTCAGAATTTGTCTGACGATGATATACTTCAGTATTGTGATTATTTTTATCTAATCTATTTACTAATGTTGAATCACCATCAATAGTATCATGTTTCTGTTTAACATTATTATTCTCTGAAGATTGTAATAAATTGTTTGATTGAAGATTATCATCTGGTATATCTGTGATAAGTAATTCCCTCAATTGTGAACTAAGAGTAAACAAACATAGAAATAGTAGAATATTTAACCAAACAGACATTCTTATATGTATCATTCACAAATAATAAATATAATCATTAAATAAAACATATCCACAGTTATATTTATGGTTTGTGCTTTCACTAAAAACTAGTTTAATTTTAATAATATGCAATAATAAGGCTGATATTCATTGTACAAATTTATCATTTCACTGGATTGATCTTTTCTTTTTTTAGATGTTCCAGTTATTTCTTTTTATTTGTTATAATCCAAGAATATTGATTTTTTCTTTTTTTTTTTTTGAATGTAAATAAACCGCTCAAAGTTACCGCAATCTTTTTCTAAATATGTACAATGTTAGATAAAATAAGAGTGAGAGAAAATGAGAAAGAAAACAAAAAATTAACTAATAGTCTGACTTGAGTTTTGAATGCTGACAGAATTTCCTATCGTTTATATTAAGTTTTAATAAAAGCTCATAAATCATAATTCACTGACAAAGGGTATATAAATGAATGAAACAAAAATTTTAATGTTATAAACAATGATAAATGTTAGCCTGTTCGTGTATCTTCTTGTTCAACATAATATATATATATATACATGTCTATGATATATTGTTTACATGTATGATTCAATCTAACTAAAGGGTGGTTGTAAATTGTGACCTCCTAGTAAGTGTGTTTAACGCTATTCAGTAACTAACTGTAATTGGATTGGTCAATGTTCACTCTCTTTCTAATTCTCTGTCAATATATGTATATATATACATATATATGTAAATGTGTGTGTGTGTATTTGTGTGAAATCAGTATAATTCATGTTCAGATTCTATTAGTATTTTTGTGCTTCAATCTATTGTCAAATATCCTACTAAATGTTTCTTTCTTTTTGTTGTTCTAAGCTCTCATATAACATATATATCTATATGGCCTTCAATAATTAAATAAATAAAGGCGCATAAATATCAAATCTATCAGTTAAATCAATCCAGACTTTATTGTTAGAGATTAAAATTCAAGTAAATTTGAATTATTGCTTAGTCGACCTTTTTATTACTGGTTTATACAATGATGAACTCTTTACTGTAGGGATATAAATTATCTATAAAATAAAAAAAAATTTATTATTATTCTTTTTTATGAGAATATTGAACATAATAAATTTTTAGTTTCATTTTGTATGTAAATAAGAAATAAGTAAATTAATGAATGACTGATTACTTTTAATTTATTAATACATCAATATTTGCTTGTTTTTTTGTTTGTTTTAGTTGGGGTTTTTTTGTTTGTTTATGAGACAGATGTATATGAACAAAGAATACTTTACTTTACTTTACTACTTACGCCTGTTACTCCTTGTGGAGGAGCATAGGCTACTCATCAGCACTCTTTATTCAATCCTGTCCTATGCAATCTTTTTCAGCTCTTTTCAGTTGTTATTCATCCTTTCCATATCTGCTTCTATTTCCTGACGTCATATGTTCTTTGGCCTTCCTCTTTTTCGCTTCCCTTCAGGATTCCAAGATAGCGCTTGCCTCGTGATGCAGTTTGACGATTTGCGTAATGTATGTCCTATCCATTTCCATCGTCTTTTCCTCATTTCTTCTTCAGCTGGAAGTTGGTTTGTTCTCTCCCACAGAAGGCTATTGCTGATGGTATCCGGCCAATGGATGTTGAATATCTTTGCGTAGACAGCTATTTATAAATACTTGTACTTTCTTGATTGTGGTTGTTGTAGTTCTTCAAGTTTCAGCTCCATACAGTAGAACTGCCTTGACGTTCGTATCGAAGATTGTGACTTTGATATTGGTTGAAAGTTGTTTTGAGCTCCATATGTTCTTTAACTGTAGGAATGCTGTCCTTGCTTTGCCAATCCTCGCCTTTACGTCTGCATCTGAACCACCTTGTTCATCGATGGTGCTTCCTAGGTATGTGAAGGACTCTACATTTTCCAGAATTTCGCCATCAAGTGTGATTGGGTTGGTGGAACAAAGAATATATACACATATATTTCTCTCTTTATGAATTTCTTAGCAAGTCCTAAAGTTATAAATTCAGATTATTAATATAATGGAGTACTCAAGATAAATTCATATTTTAAAATAAGAGTATATGAATAAAGGATTGTTAATGAAATCAAATTATTAGTGTCAAAATTTAATAGAGTACATTCTCAACTGGAATAAGTTTACGCATTAGATGCTGTGGTTTTTGTACTATATGTAATAGTGTTTTTCATTCTGATGATTTTTACATTAAATATTGCACAGAAGGTCTTTTACAATTAAGTTCTTTTCAATTAAAATCTTTGACAGTGCATGATAGATAGTTTCAATTGAAGTTATTCACAAAAACAATTAAACCAACTGGAATTATCATTGGATTCGATGACATAGATCCTACATTTTTCCATAGTACATCATTTTGATGCACACCGAATGAAACTAAGTAGCCATTGTGTTTTTCTTCGAATCGCAAGAATAAATTAGAATGTTTGATATTTTCATCACAAATTCAATATTCTACAACTTGTGTACTGGTCATACTGAACTTAATAAAATTTCACATTTAGACTGTCATATGTCATATACATATAAAATCGAAGTTATAAACAGTAGTCTGACTCATAGAAATCTCTTGGTTTGTTTTCTATGAATGATGTTTTTCTAAAGATTAACAGAAAATGTTCTACTAGGATTGGTACTGTCTATTAATTGGCTAACATCGATGTAAAATGGTTAGATGTTATTTTCTTCCTTAGAATTCCCACTGATCTCATATCCGTTGACGGAAAATTGATTTTCGATTTATAGTTGGGCAAACATTATTTTTATAGATATATAACACAGAAATAGAGTTAGGAATCATTTGGTCATCAGCATTCTATCTCTTAATCCAAATCCCATGGAATAAGTTTATGGTTAGGTGACCAAGATAAGAGATTAGACCTTTAGGTTTACGATGTTGGCTTGCCGGCAAAATTCGAAAAATATTTTTAAATCTAAGTCTTTTTTGATTTCGCTTTCATCAGTAAGACACAAATAATAATGAGAAATATGGTGACTTATCATAAATTCAAGTACGCGTCGAAAATATTCAAGACAAAGCGGTATTATTTCAAAATTATTATGGAATAACTTAACAATGACTAGAAATGTTCGTGAACAAACTATAATCATTGCAATCAATGTGTTATGTAAATTCGACATTCTTGGAAACATTCCATATTGATGAATAAAAATTAACTGTGTACTTGATTTGGAACATAATTAATCTACTTAATTTTATATTTCAATCTTTATATTTCCAATGAGGTATCAAATAAGCTGTTGTCTAAAACAATTTTTATACATACATGCATGATTGCTGTCGTTTTTTTTTAACTTCAGTAATCTTGATCAAAAGTTTTAAAAAAACAGGCTAAATGTATTCGATCATTGAAATGGTAAAGAAAACGAAGACCATGCTCATAAAAAATGTTTTTGTAAATAGACTCTATCTTCTTAAACGTGCTGCCAGATATTTATTAGGCAGCTTTATACCTATGAATTAACATTTTCCAAGTCAACTAGCTTGGACTGATTTATAACTTGCTAGTAGGTGTCAATACCAAGGTTGGACTGGTTAGTTTCAAGTAAATTGAGTATTGGGTAGAAAGTTAATAATAAGTATTGTTTTTGTTATATCTTAATGGGTAGAAAATTATATTTCCAATGTTTCCGGCCAGTTATTAACTGACTCTGAAGAAGTGGGTTACACTAAGTCACGAAACGTCAGAAATACAATTTTCTACTCATTGGGATATAATAAAAAATATATTTATCATAGTATATTTGTATTATTGAAATTTTTGTAATTAATACTTTTGAAAAGTATAGACGTATCGCTTTTTATAGGTTACCCATCAAATATGATCTAATTCTTCCTGCTAGTTAAATGAATTGTGCAATATGAAAGATAACCTAAATCAATATTACAACAGTCTGTATTTGTTTTAAAATTATTAAAGAAGAACTAATGGTTTCATTCACTTGGATTAATGTGGTTGTCTTCAAGAACATTAGTAATTTTTGATTCATGAATCATCTTTATATAATTCAGAGACACAATCTGAAGGGATATTATCGCTGTGCTTCTATTGAAACTCCCAAATGAACCAAAAGTAAGCTAATTGACTACAATTATTACTTTATAAGATACATAGAAACTATGTAAAACTAGTAATCAATAGTTAACAAATTTGTGCTCTTATTCCACAGTGAATTTGAAAGTTTAAGAACGAATCATTATTCATTGAAAAAACCCCAAGAACTATCGACTAGTTCCATTCGATATACTAAGGTAGTAGTATCAGTGGCAGTAGGTAATCTTAGGCGAAAGAGTGAATTCGAAGAATAAAAGTTATGAAATTATTTGAGAAATAGGGTATAAGGCAAAACAAAGAACAAATGTAATTGAACGTTTTGAGAGATTCTGAGTCATGTCTCTTAATGTCTCCAATCGCCAGTTGCTATAATCTCGCTGACCCTGACAACGAAACAAGTAACTACAAACACGCTTTAGACCATTACTCACGGTTCTGTTTACACAGATTACGTAAACATGATCTAAAGTGAACAGATGCTGTTTGGAATAGTATATTATTTGTTAGTTACTGATGTACAGTTCATTTGTAAATTTAATGTGCTTTTTTGTTCTACCAGACTTGTTTAATTTAAATGCAGCTCAGGTTTCTTATCATTCAATTTCATGTTATAAATTCTACTGATAATACAGTTTAATCTATTGTGATCATCTACATTCTATGTTTTATTATGTTGTTTAATCAATAGTAATGTAATAAGAGACAGTGAATATATGTGTTGTTTATCACTTTCATAAATTAAATTTTATCTTGACAAGTTTCTACATTTCGTAGTTTATAATTTTGTATCTTCAAATAAATCAATCAAGCAAAGTAAAACTGATAATGCTTATTTGTGCTTATATGTATGTGTAAAGTTGCATTCTCATTCTTACTGAAATTCTTATCAAAACAAACATCATCTAATGATTACTGAAATTTTCTATTATGTAATAAGGCTTTGTCATGATGTCATCAACTGTAATTTGTTCTTCTGGTCAATATTTCCTGACGAATGGTTTTATAGATTTTTTTTGTTGATAATAAACAAAGAGAACAACAACAACATGGACAGTGTCAAGATTATAGTAATTATAATAATGAAATGAATTTGATAGAAGAAAATTTCCAAAACATTATTTATTATGATTAAGAAAGTATGAATATTTTCATATTTCATGAGACTGTATTATTTTAGATGGTTGAAGGCAAGATATAAACTTAAGTTTTGTAATCGTTGATAATAGCCAATAAGAGATATTTACATTATTGAAAGAGAAAATGTTGTTTGTAGGACTTGACTCAGTATAACCCTGTGTTATCGTTTCTTAATTTATTATTGTTAAACCTAAAATGCAGTTGAAAATATTTCTGTTACTGTCTATTTAGTGTTGAACAGACCTCTTGGGTCTCTTAAATTAGTGATCAAATTGAAATTTGATGAATG